GTCAAGGTTAACTATACCAGCAAGTCTTTTGTCTGATCAAGTAAAATAGCCTTAAGAGAGCTCATCCTTTGTATATTTTCATCGCTCTACATTGTAGCATGCCAGTGACGAGACCTTCTCATATATTTAGCAATGGATTGGTCATAGGAAGAACAAGAGCATTAATATGAAGTGGATATAAATAACTACAACATGAATTGAACTCTGTTGATTCCGTTTTAACTGTCACACTTTCATGCATCTCTTTCTTTCTTTCTTTCTTTCTTTCTTTCTTTTTAAAATTTTCTTTTAAATTTGTTTTTCTTTCAGACTTTTTTTTTAGTTTGCTTTTTAAATTTCTTTCTCAATTTCTTTCTTTCTTCTTTTGAGGATCTTTTTCTTTTAAATTTGTTTTTCTTTCCGTCTTTGTTTTCCATTTATATTTTCCTTTTTCTCCTTCTTTTTTCTGTCTTTCTTTCTGTCTCTTTTTCACTTTCTTTGTTTCTTTCTTTCTTTCTTTTTTTTCTTTTTTTCTTTTAACTTTGTTCCTTAAACCTCTTCACTGTCTTTCTTTCTCACTTTCTTTCTTTCTTTCTTTCTTTCTTTCTTTCTTTTTTCTTTTAAATTTGTTTTTCTCTCCGTCTTTCTTTTTCTTTAAAATTTCTTGCTCACTTTCTTTCTTTCTTTCTTTCTTTCTTTCTTTCTTTCTTTCTTTCTTTCTTTTTCTTTCTTTTTTTTTTTTTTTATTTCAAAAGGTTTTAAATTTGTTTTTTCTCTCGTCTTTCTTTTCTTTTTTTAAAATTTCTTGCTCACTTTCTTTCTTTCTTTCTTTCTTTCTTTTCTTTCTTTCTTTTCTTTTCAATTTGCTTTTTTTCTTTCTACTTTCTTTTTTTCTTTTTTTCTTTCTTTTTTTTTTAAACTTCTCCGTCTTTCTTTTTTTAAAATTTTTTTCCCTTTTTTTTTTTTTCTTCTTTTTTTAATTTTTTTTTCATTTTTTTTATTTTTTTTTTTCTTTTATTTTTTTAAATGTTTTTTTTCTTATTCTTTTTAAATTTCTTTTCCTTCCTTTTCTTTCTTTTTCATTATTTCTTCTTTTTAATCATTTTTTTTTTTTTTTTCTTTTTCTTTTAAATTGATTATTTCTTTCTTTCTTTGTTTTTGTTTCTTTCTTTTTTTTTTAAACTTCTTTTTTTCTTTCTTTTACTTTTAACTCTTTTGACATTTTCCTACCCCTTTTTTTTAATTCCTTCTTTTCTTTTTTTTTTTTATTTACATACACACTGTCTCTATCTCACGCGTAAATTTTGTTTCATCGACCCTATAATATCTATATTAATCAACTGGAATCAAGCTTTCATTTTCAGGACAAAACAAATCCTTCCCAAGCGAGTACCTTCAATCAATGCTCCATTTGTTCCACCTACGCCATGAGAGCAGCCATATCGTCATCATCTTTGCTTATCAATTTACTTTTGCGTTCTGCACTATTGAAACCTATCCATCCAAAAAGATTACCATAGGTCCTGCTTTGATTAGACTTCCCATCAAATTTCCACTCACTAAGGGCAACGCCAACTTCCTTAAAAGCTTTGATATTGCACGTGATATTCCTAACTACATATATCGATTACGCTTTTAAATCATATGCTCAAACAAAGAGCCTGTTTCAACCGGCCGATCTTTGAACCAACTCTTGTTTTGAGGAGAGAACAATCCGAACAGACGTGGAAAAGAAAAAGACAATTTCTAACTCGATCCAGATCTAGCCATCTCTCTATGCAAGAATATCATATCTAAATTCAAGGACTTCTCATACCTGTTGGAGGAACCCCTTCTCAATTGTGACATTCAAGACAGAATAGTGCAATGGTTTGCTAGTTCCTTTTGCTTTGGAGATGTTGAGGTTACCTGGTTCCTCCTTTCAGAGGTGGATTTCTTTTTGAAGTTACCTTATTCTAGCCTTTGCCTAAAGAGGCAGGCCTACTAGACAGTAGGTAGTTTGAATTCAGAGTTACCCTCTCCGAGAAGGGTTGTCACCTAAGGCTATAGGACCCAATCTGTCCTACTAATTTACCCATAGCTGGGGAGAAGATATGTATTCATACCTTTCCCAAGTGAATGTAAGTGAATGTAATGAACTCAACTTATCAATTCCTCAAACCGAGCCGCTATCCATTACTCCATCTTGCTTCCTCCTGTCAACTATGATCGATCTAAAAAAATGTCCCTTGTCAGCTGTATCCTTGAATCCTATCCTTTTGCATCCTAGTGGCTTTATTACCTTGCTTGGTATGAAATGATTAAATGAAAAAAACGTCCTTTGGAAGAACGAAACGTGTCACATAGCATTTTTCTCATTTGATCATTCTGTTTATCTAACAAGGCTATTGCATTTGAACCCTCGGTCACGATGACCTGAGACTTTGTGCAAGCTCAAACATCGTCAGTTTCTGAATGGTTTTGTCTCCTCAATTTTACTCACAAAACTTGGATCAATCCTTGATATTGTTTTCAGGCACACGATAGGATTGTCTCTCCAGGGTCTTATATTAGCAAAATCGCCTCCTTGGTATATTTTTTACAGTGAGAGTCACCCTGTACAAGACCCAGGGGCCACTCAAGATAAAAGGTTACATGAAGAAGCAGTTTGTGAGAGGAGGAAATGATAACGGTTAACCTTAGCCTCGAACAATTTAAGATTGAGGTAATCGGGAAAACATCCTTTTGGGAGTCGGTTCCATAGATAGATAGATAGATAGATAGATAGAAACAGGCTGATAGATAGCTAACTATGTAGCTATCTATATATATATGAACAGAATGAGACAGTTAAGATTTATGATTTTTTTACAGCGAGGTTCACCCTTTGCTAGGCCCGGGGCCACTCGTGGTAGAGGTTTACGCTTGGGGGCTATCTGTGTATATAGGTGTGGAAGATACTGGTTAACCTTGGCCTTGAGCAGGTTAAGATTGTAGTAATCGGGAAAATATCCTCTTGGGAGTCTGTTTCCCAGAGCAGTGGTTCGTGGGAAGAAGCTGGAATACGGAAGGACTGTGGATGGGGATTGCTATAATGTGAGTGGGCGAGAACGTTAAAACTAGCGGAACCAAGACATGTAGTCCTTTGAACCACTTTCCATGAAAATAGCGATAGATCTGTGAGAAGCATGTGAAAGAGGGATCGGAGGGCGGAAAATAGTTTGTCCCCTAGAAAACGCGGACGACAGATCCCGCCCAATTAAGAGAACAACACCCCATTTTAGGTCTGATCTGGCTCTTGTAGAGGATAGCATGCGGAATCAAGTACTTACTAGAGCAGTACAAGGAACCGATCATTTTTCCAGAGCGATGGATAGTATGTACGACTTCTGGGTGAGTTTATGTCCAGTAGTCGCTCAAGGGACGATGCCTCACTGAGGGGACATCCACGATCTCTGGTCACCACGAGTTTTGGAGGTGCACCCATATAATAATTCGTTAATACTTTATTCGAGGATACCCGTCTACTAGGGTGGCTAGCTAATCCCCATTGAAGACGCTTGCTCAGGCGCATTTTGTGTTTGCTCAACACTCACAGAACCTACCTGTGGTTTACACTGCAACTATGCTGAGCAGACCTTAGTTACAGTTTCTGGGAGAGAAGCGTGTTATCTAGCGTGCTCAACAATCTTAACAAGGCCAGTACCCTCAAACCATTGGTCATGATGATTTGTGACTTCGTGCTAGCACAGCTGTCGACGCTCCCCTCCCAAGGGTTCCATCTACCTATTTTCAGTTACAAGGCTTTCAGACACTTTTCAAATGTTCCGCACGCTGGGATCACCTCCTCCTGACAAATGGTGAAATTCGAACCCCGAGTCTCATGGTCAGAAAGAGAACGTTCTAAGCACATGTATCGATGGTGAACCCATATAACGTTGTATTATAAGCATAGATATTCACAAATGATCTGAGTTTACTCTTGGATCATTTATGTAAAGTAAAAAGCGGATTGGTTCGATATCGACAATGTTGTCATTCGGACCTGAGTCTAAAGTTCTAACAACTCGGCCATGTGCCCACATATTGGCGATAATAAGGGAATACAAAGCATTACTAATATATATATATATCTATAAAATGCCCAGATTCTGGGTAACGTTTATTAAATAAAATCAGTTTCAGATAAAAAACAAATAAAGTGATCACTCTTTCTTTCTTTCTTTCTTTCTTTCTTTCTTTCTTTCTTTTTTTTCCCTCCCTTCATCTCTCTCTACATATCTTGTTCTCTCCCTTCATATCTTTCTCTCTCTTCATCCTATTCTCTCTCTTCATCTTTTGATTTTTCTTTCTGCATCTCTCTCCTTTCATCTCTTACTCTCTCCTTTCATCTCTTGCTCTCATCTTTTGCTCTCTCACACTTTTCATCTCTCTCTCTACACATCTTGCTCACTTTACTTTATCTCTTGCTCTTTCGTCATCTTTCTCTCTCTCTCTCTACATATCTCTCTCTCTCTACATCTCTTGCTCCCTCCCTCCATCTCTTGTTCTCTCTCTTCATCTCTTTCTCTCTCTTCTTCTTCTTCCCTGAATAGTTATATCATGTATTTTTCTTTCAATTATCTCTTTCCACATTCTTCGCTTCTCTTTCGATATCTCTCTTTTCCCGATCCATTTCTCCCTGTTCTTTTTCCATTTCCATCCCTCCAATCTGTCGTTGACACACACACACACACACACACACACACACACACACACACACACACACACACACACACACACACACACACTTTTTATTCTGAACTGTTATTTCTGTAATCTCCAGTTTGGCCACTCTTGTCTGAAGGAGAACGGTGATGATGGTGGTGGTAGCGATGGTGGATATGGTGGTGTAACTGTCCAGTCGCTTCATCTTGTGGGCTGTGGATGCAGACTTCCATGTTGGTAGACATTTGATCAAGCGTTTTCTGTAAATGGTCGCAACAAGTAAGCTTCGAGCATTCTTCGTTTGTACAGGTGCTGCATAAAAGACATTCTTCCTCATGCTCGTCCGCCTTGTCTCCCTACAACATACAAGAAAAACATCAAAGATTAACCACAAAAGCCTATCTATCTATCTATCTATCTATCTATCTATCTATCTATCTATCTATCTATCTATTTCAGTTTGCTTCTATCTGTCTACTCCTTCCGTATTCCTTGGGTGAGAAGTCATTTTCACTCAGGCAGCTTTTTTTTCCCGCCATGTGGAAACGTCTCCCAATAGGATGTTTCCCCTATCACTACAATCTTAACCTGTTCAAGGCCACGGTTAACAGGTATCTTCCACTCCTATACGCACAAATGACCCTCAAACGTAATCCTCTACCTCGAGTGGTCTCCGGACCTTGTAAAGGGTGAAACTCGCTGTAAAAAAAGCAAAAAACTATCTGTCCCATTCTGTTCATATCTATCTATCTATCTATCTCATTCTGTTCTTTATCTATCTATCTATCTATCTATCTATCTATCTATCTATCTCATTCTGTTCTTTATCTATCTATCTATCTATCTATCTATCTATCTATCTATCTATCTATCTCATTCTGTTATCTATCTATCTATCTATCTATCTATCTATCTATCTATCTACCTCTTTCATTTATTCTTTCATTCTTTTTATATAAACATCTCTCTGTCATTCATTCATTTATCGCTTTCATTTATTCTTTCTTTCATTCTTTTTATAGATCTATCTATCTATATCTTTCACCCATTCAATCTACCTCTTTCATTCATCCTTTTTATATATTCATCTATATCATTCATTCTTTCTATCTCAGTCTGTTTCTATCTATCTATCTATCTATCTATCTATCTATCTATCTATCTATCTATCTATCTATCTGTTATGGGACCTTACCCATAATAACATAATGGACTATTCCATACGTAATAAATACTGCACCTCAAGAGGAAGCAGAGAGTTCAGTCTGAAGTCTGGAGTGAGGTCCGTCAGGAGTCAGTCGATTCAGAGGCAGTCCGAAACAGAGTCGCGTTCAGACAATTACGACAAGACATTGGAATAGTGATATTGGTTGAGACTACATTGTTCTCCCTACTAAACCTGATTGTTCGTACTAACACTTTCTACTTCTCTGTATATATTCCTGTTTGTAATATATCTGTGTTATTCCATATCTGTGTTCGAGTTCTTCTTTATTGGTTCTACCTTGGACCATCACCATGGTACAAGGAACCGGACCATAACACTATCTATCTAATTTTGTTCATTATCTATCTATCTATCTATCTATCTATCTATCTATCTATCTATCTATCTATCTCATTTCATTCATTATCTATCTATCTATTTATTATCTATCTATTATCTATCTATCTATCATATCTATCTAATTTCTATTTATCTATCTATCTATCTATCTATCTATCTATCTATCTATCTATCTATCTCATTTCATTCATTATCTATCTATCTATCTATCTATCTATCTATCTATCTATTTATCTATCTCATTTCGTTCATTATTGATCTATCTATCTATCTTATCTATTATCTATCTTCTATCCCAGCTTATTTATTTGTTCAACCTGTTCAGACTTTGTATCTCTCTCTATTTCTAGCGTTGATAAAAAAAGATAAAGTAAGAAAAGAAAGGAAAAATTCAAAGAAAATTGTAAAAGATTGCATCAATAATCGAGGAAAATAATGGAAATAAAAAAGCCAAAGTTCGGCCAATAATGAAAAAAAATTTTTTTCAAAGAAAGTTCTGGTTGAATGGTGATGTGTTGGATTCCGGCTTTTTCTAAGAATTGCTTCACTTTTCGGAAAGAACTAAGAAAATGTTCCGGTGCAGCCACATAATGAAGGGTTGTGACCAAAGTATCATCCGTTAATTGCCAAATATGCAATTCGTGAATGTTGATTACTTCAGGAATCTTTGGAAAGACAATAACAAGTTACAATATTAGAAGGAAAGTCAAAAGTCTTTGTATTTATTTAATAAATCATTTATTTCAAGAAACTAGAAATATTATGTTGCGTTATTGTTATAGTAGAATCACACACAGTGGAGTAATGGATAGCGGCTTGGATTGAGGAATCCTAGAGCCGAGTTCGAATTCCAGTCGAATTCACGTGCTAATACCGTTTGGAAAGGTATGAAACCTCTTCATCTCCCCTCCCCCCAGCTATGGGCAAATAGCAGGACAAACCGGGTTCTACAGCCTTTCTACCGCAGTTTCTGGCAACCTACTTCGGGAAAAAATTCATCTCGTCAGTTATGTATCGAAAGATACATGATCGCCTAAATATTATCACGCATGGCACATAAATAACGGATAATCACACATTTACGCGAACGTATGCACACACACATTCACACACACATTCACATTCACACACACGCACATATATAGATATATGGTAATAAAATTATAATATATTTAACATTATAAGTTTAACCAAACAGTGTTCAAAGTAATGAAACAAATCATTATTTATATATATATATATATATATATATATATATATATATATATATATACTCACACCGTCGTGATAACCTTTATATATTTTGATTCAAACTGTAAAAAAAATCATTTTGAATTCTGAACTAGAAAAATTGCGTGATGCATGAAACTCAGAGTCGTGGTAGAGGTATAGGTACTATATATATAAGTTATATATATATATATATATATATATATATCCTTCAAGATCTACAAATCAGCAATTCGCCCTTGTATGGAGTATTGCTGCCATATATGGTCTGGAGCCCTTCTGTTTGCCTCGAAGTTCTTGATAAGATCCAGAGGCGGATATGCAATATAATTGGCCCTGATCTGGCATCTTTTCCTACAGTCACTTTCTCACAGACGCGCCGTCGCCTCTCTCT